AAAACAAAAACAGAAAAGACATTCAGGTGAAAACAAAAACATGAGGAAAACAAAAAGACAGCACAAACACTTGGGGGGTAAACAAGTCTGGTCCTTGAGAGAAAATCCTGCATCTTTATGAAATAACCAAAACTTTACACCTCAATGATCAGACCATAAATTTTAGTCCCCTCCACACTGATGCCATTTCACAAAACTGTAGATTTAGTTTTAGACCAACTCCTGAATGTGAGACCATGAAGGCCAAGGACCAGGCTTGGGAACCCCCATAACATCACAAGATCGACTGCAATATGAATTTAAAGAGTCTGATATCCAACGTAAGTCTTTCTTCGACCAATCACGTAAGCAATCACTACAATGAGAATCAAGCCAGCCAGAGCAGCGCCAACAATGATTGGGACTAAGATGTTTGGGTCGTCCACTGAACATTCATGGGCTGCAGATAAAGAGAGAGTCAGTCAGCAGGTAGAACAGTGCGTTTGTGATTTAACAAACATTGTGAGACAGACGTGTGACGCAGCAGGACAACAGGTCAGATTATCTGTAGTTTGTTTTTCGAGCACACGACACCAAAATCTCATCTCTTTCAACTCAAGACTTAATGACAGATGTTATTGCAGATGTTTATGAAGTAATTAGGTGGATGAACCAGACCTCATTTTCATGATGTTTAGTGCTTTAATTTAAGACTACAAAGGTAATAAAAAGCACAGCTTCCTTCAGTGATGTCAGTAAACTGCTTGCATGTATGAAACTCACTTTGGGGCAACCTGATATTTAAAGTGCTAGCATGCCTGTAGTTCTCAAAAAGAACCGATATTGATAGTATTTACTATTAGATATTGATTTGCAACAGCACAGAGCTTTACCTCCTCCATCTGGAATTTCAATGCAGTCACACAGATGTTAACCTAGCCAGTGCACACATTAACCATCAACTATAAAACAAGTCATTCTGTTACAATGAAGAGAGCAGCAATGGCTAATCAGCAGCAAACATGTGCAACAATGAGTGATAAATTAACAGGATGACACAACTGTGTCTAAAGGTGCTGTGTTTCTCCTAGATTGGATATGATAAGTCTTCCAGCAATTACACAACACCTCAAACATTTTATCAGCAACAAAAGTACAATGCACCAAAAGAGAACTACACGGGAGATTTGTCAGCACTATGAAGAGAACCTTACAGAGGCTGCCCCTTTTTTTTTTTAAATTATGCAAGACAACTTGTTTTAAAGTCACTAATCTTATGAAATTGAGGTCTGGGTCCAAACTCCAACAGGTAAAACTAGCATGTCACAGATCCACAACTATGCACAGTTGTGAGCCTGGTTTGGAGAGGATGATTACTGAACAGTTCTCAAAACACCAACTAGAAGTTTTTCCTTCTTTAAGGTCTTCCTAAATAATAACCAGCACTGATAAATCCATTAAAAAGAAATTCTTGCCTTATTCTGATCATGATCACAGCCACTGTCTGTACACCAGGAGATTTCAAAAATAACCTACCTGTACTGAAAACACCTTTGTTCACTCCGAAGGGCTGCACATGCAGGCTGAAGGTGTGGATGGAGAGTGTGTCGGTGATGTTGAAAGTCTGCTCCTTGTTACACATGTAGGAGCTGCCGATGGATGCCTCCCACAGATTGAGGCTGGAGTTCTCCACAGAAAAATTACCTTCAAGGAAGAAAGACAGCACATAGTTTGCCTTCTTCTCAGTGCATTGCCTGGTGTATGTGATTATACGAGAATAGTTTGGTTACCAGAGCTCGTGCTGACACTGATGTTCAGATCATGCAGGCGGAATTTCTTTGTGTCCTGTAAAAGTTTAGAAACAGAAAACTGAAGGCTTTGTTTAAGTCAACGGCACTACCCGTCACTGACACGGAGATTTAAAATCAAAGCACTTTAAAAGCATTTTTCCTCTTTAATTAATGAGTTGTATAACTTTAGGTTCTCATACCTCCTGTCTGAAGTAAATACTCATAATACAAGGTTACATAACCACCTTTTACTTTTGTTTTCCTGGAAGTGGAGTTGTCATGTTAAGGACAGTAAA